CCCCCAAAAAAAAATAATGGCACAATTGATCAAACAAAACTAATTGTAAGTAATAAAATCGTACAGAACAACATAATGAGTGATAATAATCTTACTTGTAAAATTACATTGCAATTTCCCTACAATATGAAGAAAACATGCAAAAGTAATTAGGTAACAAACAAACAAACAAACAGACATCAAAAATTTAATGTAACACAATGTTAATTATTTTTGTTGTTAATAGTACAAGATTCAGATGCAATTATTTTTGTTTTTTGTTTTTTTATGTTATCTATATGGTGCATATAAATATAACTTCTCCTTTTTTTTTTTTGATTTGTAAATTGAATCTTATCATTTTACGTACACATCGATCAATCTCTTAATACTAATTTAATAATATTTAAAAAAAAAAAATAAAATAAAATAACGTACGCTTAACAAGAAATTTTAACAGAAAAATTACTGTATAAATACAATAGCGCGAATGCGAATTAATTAGATTATTATTATTATTATTATTAATTCTTTCCCATCTAATAATAATAAAAATGGGGTATATAATTAAATCAGAATTGTTTTTTATTCGCATAATGTATATATCATATATATATATATATTAGTAGAATACAATAAGGATGTTTAAAAGTAGACTTTCTAAATGGTAATTGTTTTCTATCAGAAATTATTCCTATGAATAAGTTAATAACAATAGAATTATATCTTAATCGCATAATATAACTATAATTTCGATGGGAAAGAATTATCCTATTTAATTTCTATACTTGTTAGCTTTGATGAATTTTTTTTTTTTTTTTTTTTTACAAACGATTTGAAAATAATCTAATAGTGCAAATTCGTGATTTGAATTTATTAAACGCGAGGCGGGAACGTTTTGTACGTAATTCTATAAGTGAAATTGATCAATACAACATGTTACTTAATTTCTAAATATTTTGTCAATCGAATAATTTCTCTTATTCTATCGGAGATATTTTAGATAAAATCTAAATTATTATTATTATTATTATTTTTTGTCGGTATAAAATTTCATTGAAATTATTATTATTATTATTATTTATTACGTATAATTTTTATTTCACGATTGTTGTATAAAAAGGATACGAACATTCAAAGTTATTACGGTGTTGTGTAAAGATAATAATTGTAATTTGAAAATTTTCATATTTTCATTTTGCATTGTCTTTTTTTTTATCTTTTCTCATTTGGTTTCTTTTATTATTATTATTATTATTATTAATATTAATATTAATATTATTATTATGTAATAGCAGGGGAAAGAAAAAAATACTGTAGGAAAATAATTATGATTTACAAACGAAGCTGTAATAATAATAATCGGTGCTTAAATAATTCATATTTCAAACGTAATAGATAAAATATTTCATCAAAAACATTTATCAATGGGTATCATAGTATAATGGATACTCAGCTTAGATAATATAACAATGATATGTAAAAGGACGCATTCTAATTTACTTATTATTTTGTTGTTTTTTTTTTTTTTTCAACTAAAAATTATTAACAAAAGCTCGTAAAGGAAGAAATGGAATGAATTTTGTTTTCGATATATATTATCAAGCTATATAGGAAATGTGCTTTTTGGATATATAACATTATTATTATTATATATTATTATTATTATTTAATATTATTATTAATAATATTATTATTATAGAGTAAGAAATTGGCAATATTAGAAATAGAAATGATATAACATATATATAAAAATCTGATAGACAAGCTATACAATATAATCTAATAATTCGTATAAGGTAAAGAATGATTTATATATATATATATGTATATAATGGTTATTCTATGTACTTGCATCACAAATGTTTTTTTTTTTTTTTTTTTTTTTTTTTTTTTTTTCATTAAATAGACATAATCTTACGTTAATAATGTTGCACGATAATAAATACTGTTATGTTATTTTGTTTTTTTTTCTTTAAATAACATTGACTAGAAAATACATTGTACAGATTATTTATCAAGAAAGATTAGAATAACCCAAAATGAAAATTATGTAAATTATATTAACACGTTGAGATTGCCTTTGCATAAATTGAGAATATTTTGTCACGTAAATCAAAATTCACCCATCATCATTTCATCATGAAATATAACATTAGTTTTATCTTATTTTATAGTATGTGTGTAATTATTTGTCATGGAATAAAGACATTTGTGGTGTAACGTGTAATGGTCAAAATGGTACCGGTGTGTTACATCAAAGTCTATCAGTTTGAGAAAATAATATATCCATCCCATAAAGATTCGTATCTGTTATATTGATTTATTTTTTTCGTTTTAGTTCTTCTTATCATCTTTTTTCTTTCTAAAGGTACTTCTTATATATTGTTTTTTTTAAGTATATCTAATTAAAAATTAAAATTGTTGCAATTTATTTTGG